AAGGTGAACTGAAAGAAGCCACAGCATCACGGTGTCAGGTGCTCCTCTGGGCACTCGCCGGCAGCGCTCGCGGCCCGGCCCGGCCCGGCCCGGCCCGGCGCCATGACAGGAGGTCCGTGTCAGTCTCCGTGCTCTGTGCCTGAGCCAAGAAGGCTCTGGTGTGTTGTTGGTTATTTTAATTAGGTGCGCACCAGGTGCGCTTCTGGTGTGGAGGCGTGGTGGCCTTTAGAAAGCATCTGAGTAAAGTGACTTAATTTGGTTAAAGTGCTGTTCCTGCCTGTAGCCGTTGGCTCTGCTGACTCCAGACATGCGGTTTTTTTGGATTGCTGTGGGTTTGTGTGTGCAGGCGGTATGGCGAAGGACAGGGGATCTCATTCGTGCATGGCATTGCTGTGGTGGCGCAGAGGCTTTCTTTACTCATTGCAGTTTTGTGTTAACTGCACCTATTTTCCTGGTCAAGCCAGCTCCTGTGTTGCTGTTTTATGTACTGTGGTGAGGGCTTTCCTCTTCTTCTGGTCCTCATCTCTGTCTCCTTCCTTTTACTGATTATGCACCCAGTCTGATCTTGTGTTGAGCCAGTACACAGAGAGAAACCACTTCTGATTGCTCTGCCAGGGGCAGCTGAACCAGTACAAAGCTTGTCAATCCTTCTTAATGATGAAGTCTTTAGTTTTCAGCTGTTCTAATGACCTAAACTGGCTAATGGCAGTGAGAGGTGCCCACAGGTGGCAGAGCACTGCACAGCTGAGACAGAAAGAAGGATCTGGTTCCTCCTTCCTTCCTGGTGGCTCACAGCATGAGCTGCTTAGTGTGGCTTGTTGAGCAACATCTTAGCTAGTGGTCAGCCTGTGGGCTGATACAGCTCCCTGACCTGTCTGTTGAGTATCAATGAATACCAATGCGTGTGTAAGAGAAGGGGATGTGACAGCAGGGGAGAAGCTCAACAGCAGCAGCCCGTGCTTAGATCTGTTTAAGCTACTGTGTAATCATATCCTAAATGTGCTAAAAGCCTGTGCAAAAAGAGTGGCAGAGCAGAAAGAAAGACCAGCCAGCTGGTCCGGCTCCCGGGTGTGTACCCCACAAACAGACCCACGGGCAGTAGAGGGGACCTGTGTCTCCTGCTGGCTGGCTGTCTTCCTCACTGAGAACATGGAAATGTGTTTTTTATAATAGAGATAATAATATTTCTATTTTAATATTTTATCTAGAGATAGATAAATTATATCGTGTATGCATGCACTCATGGTGCTTCATTGTTCAGTACCTAGATTCTTAGTTGTTTTAGCTGGTTTATTAACTCCTCAACTCCAAATAATTGTATGACTTATGAAAAATTTCACGTAGAAGTCACCTGCACCGTGTTAGGCAGGCTGCTTCCTTGGAAATGAAACTAAATTGTCTGGCATTCTTCTTCCAGCAAAACTAGCTGTTGATCAAAAAAGATTTGGTTCAGACTGAGGGTGCTCCTGAGGGCACTGGTGAGTGTGTCATCTTCCCACTGAGTCTCTTCTAAGATAGCTGGAAAAGTACTGCTGGCCTCATTCACTTTGAGTAACTGTGGAAAGAGTTATTATGCTAAGTGCTACTTAATATTCTCTGTCTGTTTTGACTAACGTCCCAGTCACCGCAAACTTCAAAATGAATTTCTTTGGTTATGCAAAACAGATGCCTGCCTTAATGAATGGTTTCAAACTAAGAACAACTGGATTAACTCCCTAAGATCACAGCCCTAATTGTGGCGGTATGTTTTTTTTTTTTCCCTGCTTTGCTGTATTAGTGATGCTAGATCTTGTCTTTCTAACTAGTGTTCTTTTTTTTTTTTTTTTTTTTTTTTTCTCTCTTTCCTTACATTCTACTAGATGTTTTGGATCCGGAGAGATTAATACAATGTCCATATAATAAGCACCATCGAATCAGAGCCAGTCGGTTTCCCTATCACCTTGTAAAGTGTAGGAAGGTAAGCTGGACTGCCAAAAAAGGCACTGAATAGGAGTAATTCTGTATGTGTAAATATAACACACATTCTCATTCTTGTTGCGTTTTCTGGCTGGCTGGAGTAAGTTCCTGACAAATAGCCTTGTTTAGCCTTTATTTCATATAGCTTTATTATTTGTTTAGTAATAGCTTCAAGCATATGTTAATTCATTCAACGCTAGTGTGGCTCTGTTGAAAGGAGATACAGATTCTTCATGGTTAGGGAGGAAATTCTGGTCTCTTCCCCATGGATGTAAGATACATTTTTCCACTTTAAGTTGGAGAACTCCCTCTGAGTTATGTGCACCCCTTCTGGCTAGTCAGAATAGAAGTGTTGTGATGTTGCAATTCACTCTTTAAGTGCTGGAAGTGCAGCTGCATAGCAGGGCTGGGTGGGTGGGGTTTTTTTGTTTTGCTAATAACTATTTAATGTGCATCTGGCAGAAATTGCACATCCTGGGCTCAGCACATGTAGGACAGGTTTTCTTCCCCTTTCCCATCTTTTATCCAGAATTTGAATACAAATCATTTAATAGGAAGCATTCCTTCTTCTCTTCTCTGTTGTCCTCACGGTTTGTTTGTTTTCTTTAAACCTGCCAAGCAGTAGCATCTGATTGAGCTTTGGGTTTTTGCTGAGACCTTTTGAAAACTGATTGTTCCTCTTTAAGTTTGGCAGTATGTTTTTAAAATAGTATAACAGTGCTGTGCCTTTGAGATGCAGCTGTAGGGTGTGTGTCCTGTTATCAGTACTTATAAACAATTCATTTTGGTGGAACTAATGCCTTAAAAAAATACTAAGAAACAGATGAAAGTGGTGAGAAGAGCTAAGTTGCAAGTACCTCCATCTTTCCAGCATTCAATAGGGCTAAAATTTTCCCTGTTGACCTCCTGCAAATTTTGGCAAGAATGTGCATGTGAGCCAGCTGAACAACGTTGGCAAGTAAACTTTTAACTATGTTGGTTGTGTCCTTGTGTTGCATAACTGATGACCGGACAGTTTTGGCAAGCTTAACTAGGTAGGCAGACAAGGAGAGATAGTGATCACCACTATCGCTAGTCAGACTATCAGATGCAGTTGTTGCCTGTAAGTAATTAACAGAAGGAGGGCTCAGGGATACTATCTGATCCATCTGAAGATGCGTGTTTGTAATTATTTACGGTGGCAAGTGTCTGGGCAGAGATTGTCCTTCTTGCTTGTTAGTTTGTTGAATTCCCTTTGCATACCCTATGCATAAAATCCAATGAAATGCTTCCACCTACCTCAGTTTCCCATTGCTTTGTGTGAAATGCAGCCCTGCCACACAAACGGGAACCCTGCCAGCAGAGCAAGGTGAATTCTCTTAGCTTGAACTGCGTCAGTGTTGAGAACCTTCTGCTATGTCGCCAGAATAGCTTGCTCAAACTAGTTGAAGAAAATGATGGACACATGAGGGCACAGCAAGCCTGGCTGTATAGACCTGGTAATGACAACTGCCTTAGATGTGCCTGCAGCCCATGCTGCAGTCATGTATCAGCGGTAGTGGAGGAGACGCTGCCTCGAGCAGCGTCTGTACAAAACACTTCTGCCTCTGAGTCTGCCTCAGGTGCACATCAGACCAGCAGAGCTGCATCAGTTGGAACCAGGTAGGCACTGGGACAGTGGCAAAGTTGTGCTTTTCCCAGTAAAGGCTGTATCATTTGCAGGGGGTGAACTAATTTACCATAGTGACAGCTGAGCACTGCCAGTAGAACCTCTGTCTGTGATAAAAAGGTTTTACTCGAATAGTAATCCTGTAGCACCAAAGTCTGCAGGTGGATGCTACCAGCTCCTTCACTGTTTTGAAAGGTTTAAGGAGTTTCTCTGCCTTTGTGCTTGCTTATTTAAAAAAATACATGAATGGTGTAGATTTGCCTAACATCTCTCCCCTATTGTTTTTAAAATAGTTTCATCTGTGCTTTAAACCATGCAACCACATTGCCAGTGTTGCAGCAAATTGTAGGGAGTTTAGCTGAGGGTGTGTTTCATTTCAGTCAGCTCAAGAGTGGCTCGATTTCTCAGTGAATTGTGTTTTAGAAAACAGTCATGTTAGTTTCCCCTTGCATTTTTAGTGTCTTGACAATATAATGCCGTTCCTTGTTTTGTCTCCTTTTTAAAGCAACATCACAAATATCCTTGTTTGTTTTCTATGGATTAGCAGAAGGTAACTGAACTTGAGTCATGTGGCACATGATTTTGGTTTTCCCTTGTCTAGAGCTACCCTGAAGTTGCAAAGGAATTGGCCACGTGCCCCTTCAACGCTCGCCATCTAGTTCCTCGAGCTGACCTCAGCGATCACATAATGAAGTGCAATGACAAAGGGATCCTTGAGCAAGATATAGGTAAGAGCTTCTGCTCTGAGATGGTTGTTTATCCTGGGGACTGAGGTCTCCTGTTTGTCAGGTTAGCTCATAGAATCACCGAAAAGTGGAAGTCAAATTACTGTCTATAGTTTTGTGTGGCACAGCAGCTTTGGGGAAACTTGAGTCTTACTTGCTTTAATTTATTGAGTAGGTTCAGGAGAGTGTTGCAGGTGCTCCCAGTAGACCTTGCATGTAGTTTGTTACCAGGCTTGTTGAATAAAAAGGTTGTACCCTAGACTGTGGAAATCGAAGTACCTCCAGCAGGAGCTGGGATGCTTTAGTGACCAGAAGGACAGGCCCTTCTTTTTGTAGAGCTGATCTCCCTTTGTGGCTTGACCACTGGTGCCATGTGAAAAGCTGATTTCTACCAAACAGGTGTCTCAGCTATGGAATCCGCTGCATCTCTTTTCCTCCAGGGCAACCTGAATAGTTCACCCCAACCGAGCAGTACCTTTTCTGGGCTGCTTTGCTGCTGCTCTTGCTTTGTCTGCCATACAATTAAGATTTCAGTCTCCTGCCCAGTGAGACAAGGTGGGAGAGGTCCAAACCCCCCAAAATATTTGGCAAGAATCCTGTGCTATGCAGTGTCTTTTCTGTCCCCTGCTGTTGCTCTTTAACTATTGCCGTGCTACAGAGCAGATAGATGGTTTTCTACCTTCTGTAGAGTTGCACTGAGGCTAGCGGTGACGCCTGCATTCATTTAAGCGGGTTTCCTTCTCACTTGAGCATTCTTGCTGCAAAGTTCCAGTGGGCAGAGTATTTTCCTGTTCGTTGAAAAAGGTGAATTCAAAGTTGCTTGATTTCAGATCAATACCTGGCTCCTGGGTGTACCGAACCTGTTTGCGTTGTGCAGGGTTTCCTCTTAAATCAAGAGCTGTTTTACAGCTTGATCCAAAGCACTTAATGCCTCTGAAGCAGGATTGACTGCTAGTCACTGAGTGTTTTTTCTCTTCCTGAAGTGAATCAGTCCTCTGGCTTACAGAGGGAGCAGATGAATGCTGTGAGCACGTGGCAGGCACCTCCATGTGAGGAAGACTGGGAAACAGGTGAGGAACTTTCCTGTCTGCCACACTGCTGCCTTCTCCCTGGCCCTGTCCTACAGCTCCACTTGGGACAGTATGAGTCCAAGAACGCTGTTCACTCTGGTCCCACTTGTAGGCCACCCTGCTTGTGCCCATTCCTGAAACCATGCATCTCTCCACCTAGCAGGCTTTTCTTGGTATAGGGAACTCTTCAATATGCCTGCTGTAATTGGCATGGAGAGATATTCCCAAGCATCTGCTCTTTCCCATATAAGCTTTCTTACTTTATGTGCAATCATGGTAATTGAAACACGATAACTTATGTTGCTCAGTTAAATGACAGTGAAGCAGACACATTCATCATTAGATCAACTTTTACTCCATCTTGAACATATAGAAATATGGCGGAGATATTCCTGATTTGCTGGTGGCAGCTGGAGTTTCTTAGTTCTGAGCCACAACATCTGTTTCCTTTTGCAGAGTCGTTGGAGCAGTCAGATTCTCCTTTTATTTGGGGCATGACCAATCCTAGCGTAAACAGGTAGCAAATGCGAGTTTGATTCCTTACAACAATGTTTTGTATAGAGGAGTATTGCAGCCTTCTTGTAACGCAGCCTCGATGGCTGGACACAGGCTGGCTTTGCTGCTGTACAAACCCTCGGAGGAGGGATACTGATTAACAGTGAACGTTCTTAGCATGCTGGTTCATTGGTACTTGCTTTCTCGTATGATGGGCCCATAGCAGAGAAGGAAGCCCTTAAGAACACAGGTACTCTGTGCTCTTGTGTTCTTTCTGCCCATGGCATACGTTCAGTATCTGCTGGGTGTCTGGTCAATGTGCAGGGAGAAAGGTGCTGAGCTGTTATGCTGATGTTTGAAATGTGGCCAGGTGCCTCCCTCTGGAGCTTCATACAGTTACTGAGGTTCTGTTGAGCAAATGGTTAACCAGCAGTCCCTTGTGACCTCCTGTCACCTTAGATGTGGTAGATGTACTGGCATTAGGGCCTTATGTTAGCAGAAATCCCCCTCCCTTGCCCTTTGCAAAGCATAATCATAGTTTGGGTTTGGGAAAGTGAGGAGCTTAATGGCCAGCTGTGAACAGGATGGAGCTGCCTTGACTTATTTCATTGGTCCAACAGTGGATCGTGATTGCAGGCTGTATGCAAGATGTGATGATACCAGTAGTTGCCAAAGCACGTTTTAAGGTTTGTCTAAGCCCATATGCAGCAACTGTCCCACACTGACAGCTCTGTAGTTCGGTATGAGCTCAACCATGAAACACCTCTCCTTCCATAACAACAGTGATGTCTGGTTTCACTTGTTATGCTTTTTGGAAACCTTTCTAGTGTTTAGAGCGTATATAGCTCTTCTAAGCACCACCTGCTCCAAGTGGCAAAGTACCATCCCCTTGTGTCCCTCCTCTCCTCCATGCTGTAGCAGAATGCATAAATTTGAGCAAGTGCGTTTGTCAGGAGAAGTAACTGAAGTCTTTCAGTTCCAGTACCACCTTTGAACAAAAGAATTGCTTGCCTTCGAGAGTACGTGCCCCTGAGTCCTTCCCATACGCCGTATCATGGAAAGACTGTAAGTACTATGCATGTGGTTTCGGCACTGTGACTTCTGTAGCTGGTGGTAGCTGCTGAAATCTCTGGCTGCAGCAGCGTTCTATGGGCACCGCTGCATGGACAGGAGAGGTAGTATGTAACACCTGCCTCCCTGAGAGCACCTTCTGAGGGCATGTCATCCTCTGTATCCTTTCTTTGAAGCATCCTCTGTATTCTTTGTTTCATATTCTTAACTGGCCCTTCTTTACAGTGGTCTAACTTAAGCAGCCCCGCTCCCCGCCCACTTGGGCTCTGTCTCTCTAAACAAGTCCTTCCGCACCATCCGCGCTAACCCCTTTCACACACACACACACCCCTCCTTAAACCAAATTATTTCCTTGCTCTGTGCAACTTGCTTGCTGTCAGATGCAGCTACATCAGAGCAGGAGTAAAACTCGGGCTGCTTAAACCAGCACTACTGGGGAAAAATAACTATCAAACTTCATCTGGAGGTGGGAGGGAGCTTCCCCTGTTGAAGCGTCTGATGCTGAAGTCAGACCATTATTTGCCATTAGCAACAAAGCAGAAACCTAAAGGTGCTTTGAGGAATGACCCATCTTTTTTCCTGCTTGGAGCAACTAAACCCAGTACTCTTGCGGCTTTACAGGCATGGCTTCTGCACGATCCAGTGACTGTGCAGTTGCCATAGGGTCTGGCTGAATCTGCCAAACCAAATTAAAATGTCACTTGTAGATACGCATTGTTGCCAAGGTGACGAGTGCTACTTCAGCAAAGGACGCTCTTACTTGGGGGAGTGGAGGGAATTCTTGCGTTTTTCTCCATCTCGTGCTAAAAATGTCTTGCCTTTTCCAGAGTTTGGAGTATTAGTGTCTCTTCCCCCTGGAAGTTTGTTCCCTCCAAGCACTAAGTGGTTCCCTTTCTAGGACCCTAGAGCTCCTGCAGATGGTAGATATTCCCTGGACCTGATGGCAGGACTCTGTAGACTTGGCTGTTGCTGCATGACATGTTTTTGCAAGACTTTAGTTTTTAAAACTATCCTTGCTTGTCAAATCTTTTTCCCAAGTGTTTGTTTCAGAAGTGTAATGGTTTGAAGAACCCACAACAATTCATTGTTGTTCAGGCAATTATTCTGTCACCCGATGGCCCCTCCCCACCCAGGAAGGGGAATCGGGGGGGGAAAAAACAAGAAAACCCAAGGGGTGAAATATAAACAGATTTAATAGAATAGGGCTAGACAATTAACATTAATAACACTAAAGGACCAATATTGATCCTGATACCAATATAAAATACACAAGGATTATACTCAACCCATTCTGTCCGTAGAAGCTGTGCACCCCCAGCAGTGACAGCCCATGTGGGACCCTGCGAGCGCTGCGGCTTTGGGAGGAAGGGACGGGCTCAGGGCTTCGGCACCAGGGCAAGGAGTTCTCAGGATGGCAGCCATCACAGGAGAGAGAGAACTCCTCAGCAAACTTTCTAATTTATACTGAATGTGCCATTCATGGTATGAAATAACCTGTTGCCAGCTTGGGTGAAGTGCCCAGGTCTCACTCCTTCTCATCCCCACACCCGGTGAGCTCGAAAACACTGAGACCTTGAAACCCGCACACCATAGCTGGCTGTAAAGTAAATATTTTCACACATTCGGACACTAGAGTTTTCTAAAAATGCAGTTTTCCCAAGCATTAGAGGAAACGTTACTTAAAATTACTGAGAGAGAAATTCATCCTGTGTCTCTCAAACCAGGACAATACTTTAACCTCATCTTCGTTTACTGATCTTTGTTACTGTTGTTGAGTAAATGGGCTGATAAATTTACAGAGCACCAACTCAGAAATCTTCCCTCCTGAGACAGCAGTGAATAGTTAAGAGGAAAAGCGCAGGTATTGGCAAGCCTCTAGTGGTTCACTTCTCAAATGGCAACGCTGATGAGCTGTGAAGTCCTGTGAACCAGCAGAACTCTTCTGAAATAGTGATGGGTTTTAAGTGGCGGAGGTGGGGAAGGGGGGATTGATGGTTCTAAGTAGAGGCGGTAGGGTCTGATTAGGTTCCTAATCAGAGAAGTGATAGTGGGAAACAGAACAGCATGGGGGGCTGCACCTACCACTAAAATCTTGTCCATTAGCTTGATGCCTTAAAACAAGTGTGTGCATTTGCAAGAGGGCCCCTACAGAGTTGTCTACGTAAGGTGTTTTGTGCTAACTGTAAACGGAGGGATGCAATTATGCTTGGGGGGGAGCAGGGGCGGGGTGGGCATCTGCAAAGCAACACTACATATTACCGTTTTCAGGATTACACGGTGTCTAGAGTGATTTCTGTGAAACTTTTACTGGACGCTTGTGAGAACATCTGATTGTTTGCTGGGGAAGTGCAGCAAACTTTCTCTGCAGTAAGCTGTGGTCATAACATCTGTAGGCAGTGAACTCATATTTGAGGGCCTGTTACAGCCTGGAGAGCGTAAAGTACGTTCTGAGAGTTTCCACAGCTGTAAAGAGGCTGAGACTTCCTATGGCATAATGTTTAATTAAAATCATCTGGATCAGCCAAGCCTAGAAGTATTTCTATGTGCATGCACTCTTTTATCTTGCCAGCATGTGAGTTTGTCCACACAGGGCATGTCAAGTGGACAGTTTTGGTTTTCAAGTACATTGTCATTTACAGACTTCTGTCTTTTTCCTAGAAAGCATCCCGATCACGCCTTTGCAGCTTCAAGCTTTAAGCCATCACTCTGTCACGTGGGTGCGTGGTGCTTCACGTCATACAATAATGGAGAATCCTCTGTGAATTCCTTACAATATGCATAATACCGAACAGGTGAAGTTTTAAAGAGAACACCTAAGTACTTGCCTAGTTTCCATTAGGGTTTTGTGGTTTTCTAAACACTTAAAACATGCTCTAATGTAACTGTTTTTTGTTGGGGTAGAGGGGAGTGGGGTGTAAGGATGCAGGAAGCATTTAAATCACTAAAAATATGCATTTAGGGCTGTGTAAATGTTTGGATTAAGCAGTATATTTCTAAAAAAAAGGATGCAAAGTACAAAATGTGATCTAAATACAGAAACACAAAGAGTTAAGAAACCAGACATGGTATTTGTCTGGGAAGAAAATAATGCCTTTTGAAAAGAATGTTCCTCAAAATACTGAATTTTCACCATTTGTATTACTGCCAGTGTAAAATAATGCACGTTGACTAGAATGTGCAAAATTAGGATTATTTTAAAGTTTGGTTCTGTCAAGGTTCTTGTTGGCAATTCAGAATAAAAAGGTTATGAATACTCTTGGACCCATTTTATATTTCTAAAAGACATCTGCAATGACGCATTATACTCTTGTTCTGTTGAACAAGTAAATGCTTACACAGTAAGCCCTCCACACAACTTTCATTTAATTATTATCTTTTTGTCACTTTGAATGAAAGCGGTGACAAATGTCAGCGGTTCGATTGTTTCTGGTTTGACTGCAGGAGCTTATTTGCAGGATTTGTGGGCCAGAGCGTTATAATTTTAGAGATAGATGCCATAATCGGGCCCCATTATCCTAAGTTTATTTAATTGCCAGTGGGTGAAAGGCTGGCAGTACATAGTGCAGTAACTACCTGCTTTTTGTTGGGTCTCACCACCTGTCTGCACTGCAGAGGAGGTGAACTTCGGGCGCACCTTCTCCCAGGAGGCACATTATCCCCTTTGTCAGGGGGAGTCCTGGGGAACCACTGTTCTCCAGTGGCCCTGCCTTCCTGGAAAGGGCCACATGGGCTTGGAAAGTCATGGTTGGGAATTCAAAACATCCCCTGATCACAGTAACTGGGGGGTTAGGGACCACAAGAAGTAGGTTTGTCTTGTAGGATAGGTGCAGCCAACACACGTGTTGTAGTTTGGGCTCTACTGGCCACCGAGATGAACAACAGATGCTCTCCCCCACCTCTGTCTCCAAGGAGAGGAGGGAGAGAGAGAAAGCAAGCAGGACAACATGACAGAGCTCTGAGATCTGAAATCACGTATCCTTCTGGGCAGGTTCCTCAAGCACGTCCTGCACATGCTGCCTGTGAAGAGTGGGAAACCCATAATTTTACTGTTCCCTGCGGTGATTGGGGAATGCAAGATTAACAGGCTGTAAGGATTTAAAACAGAAAGATGACCCTCCTCCAGCATTATGACTACTTAAAATCCCACTATTGTCTGTCATTGGGCTGTTGGGATGAAGCGCCCTCTGATTGTTTTGTATTTACCGCAAGTCAAGGAATGTTTTAAAAAGTATGCCAAATGACACCTACTCCGAGGTGGCAGAGCGAGGACTTTGTGACCATCGCTGCGCTCACAGCCGTGTATTCCTGCGTTAAAACCTCTGTCTCTCTGTTGACGGGCAGGCTGTGCAGTGCTGGATTCTTCACCCCCTTCCCCAGAGGCTGGATGTGTCCCTCGCCAGGAGACGCTGATGGGATATGGGGAAACATCAGCCCCTTTTGTCCCGCCGGAGAGGGTTTCTGAGCACATGCCTGGGTGACTCTTCCCCCGCCCCAAGTTAGGTAGGTCAACGGTGCCTGTGCTGACCCTGTGAGCGCTCCTGTGGGTGCACCCTGCCTGCTGGGCTGTTTCTGCCTTCTCTGAGCTACCGGCTCTGTGGCAATTGGACCAGTCTGACCAGAAATGCCTGTGGAAATTTGGGCTAGAAATGGTTGTGTCTGCAGTTGTCACTGGTGACTCAGGAGGGAGGAGAGGAGGCAGCGTTTACCTTTAGGCACAGATTCCTCTGTGTTGGGGAGCCTGGACATGCTGGAGTTCCTTGTTGTTTCTCCTGGTGCCCACAGACCTGAGTGGTGTCTGATGGGTCTCCCCACCGCTGATTTGCACCCAGCCACAGAGGTGCAGCAGCTCCGCTCAGTGGTGAGGTGCACCCATGCTCTTGGTCCAGGTCCCAGACCCACAGAGCTCTGCTTTGTCCCCGTGGCTCACCGTACGGTTCTGCACAGACTTTCTTTCACCAAAGGGTTGAGCCTGTGCTGCAGGACACCTCCATGCTAGTGCTGTGTCCCACTGGGGCTGGAGCACAGCAAGGTGCACAGGCTTACGTGGGTCAGT